TGCTGGTGCTTCATCACACACACACACACACACACACACACACACACACACACACACACACACACACACACACACACGTAAAGTGTCATGGGGGATCACTGTTTTTCAGGGCCAGCTGTCCTGAGAGTCATTGCTTCAACTCGGATTATAAAAAGCACCCATTTAAACTTGCATTAAAAGCATTTTTAAGAAGTCTCTGTATACTATAGAAATAATTGATAGGGAGATCCTCTAAACCAATATTGTCCATCAATGCCAATATATGGGAGAATTAAAACTGACAGCATTAGAGCTCTGTGATTGATTACAAAATAATAAATCAATCTCTCCTGATCTGATTTTCCACAAATAAGAGAGAGATGGAGAGTGTTTATCAGTGTAATAATCTATATGTCTGTTGCCTATAATAATTCATCAGACACGCAACTTCTCATAACAGTGCATAACTTTAAAACATTTGTCACTGTCACCGCATTTAACAGATTTGAACTTTAAATCCTTGGTCAAACATTTTATGTTTACTTTTTAAAAAAAAATTGTTGAGACAGAATTTCTGGGCATACACTTGGGATTCATGGGATGTATAAAGAAGATCACCCAGTGGCAAGAATTATTAAATAGTGTTAAATAACATACTGATTATATTTTGGAAAATAAAAAGCTGTATTGCAAGGGCAAAAGTTGCATATTATTTTGTAAACCTGCATGTATTAAGAGTTTACCAGGACTTTTAAAAGGATTAGACATCTGCAGATGCATTAGATTAGATAAACATTTTTAAAGAACATAAACTAGCCATTAACTGCCTAGGGTAAAAAAAATTCCTCCATGGATAGTCTGACTTTAATGGATTTTAAGTTAAGCATGTAGTTCAAAAACTTTGCTGGATCAGGGCCACAGTGCATAACTGTTCATAATTAGTCATTAGGGAGGCAACTTCTTCTGAAGGGTCTAGTGCTGGTGACTGTCAGAGGCAGGACAGTGGACTTAATGGACCATTCATCTGATCCAGTGCAGCAATTCTTATGTTCCTATATTTCATTCAGTTGAATCTTATATATATTACAAAACATAGTACCAACTCGCTATAAATATTATTCAAGACATCAAACAGATTTTACTGTTAACATATCTTTGGCCTCAGTGATACTTAACGGCATTAGGTAAGCTTTGATATTTGAGAATCAGCAATCTCTGTATACTCCATAGAGCCTTTCAGCAGAAGGGGATGTTTGGCAACAGCTCCCATTGACTTCACCGGGAGCTGCTGAGATTCAGTACCACTCAGGTTCAGAGAAATTAAAAAGCGTGGAACATGTGTGGCTTCTTCTTTCTCTATTAGAGATTAAGACAGAGATATCAGCGATGTGTAATAAGGGCTGTTGTTACCTTTCACCACCAAACTTCCAGTGCTGCTAGCTGTACCAAAATGGTTTGTTGCTACACAGGAATAACTTCCAGCATCTGCCTTAGTGACATTGACAATTCGGAGGCTTCCATCATCCATAATATTGATTCTGGAAAGACAATCAGGCATGAAGGTTTTTTTTAAGATAGCATAAAATTATTTTGAGTTTGTATCAATTATTTTCATTTTGAACAGTACACAGTCCATTGCCAATTACAGAGGGCCCAATTCATAAATGCTGCATGCATCATTTACATGAGTTTTCTGTGTCTTTACCTGAGGGCAACTTTAATTTACACAGTAGCAGCATGTGTAGGTTTTATGTGAATCTGCACTTTGATAGTCAGTGCTCACTGGAACAACTCTTGCAACATATGGTGCACATGCTACACCTAAAAATCTAGAGTCAATTACTTAATACTGCAAAACCGAGTTCTTACAAAATTAGACTTGCTCTCTTTGATTTTTCTGTAAGACACTTTGTGGCTTCTAAAATAAGTGTACAAAATTTACCAAATTCAGGGTGCATTTTCTGCTTATTGAACACCTAGCACCTGGATGTTTTAATTGCACTGTCATTCCATGGCATGTCTGACAGCACTGGCCTATACAATCATGGTTTGAGAAGTCCTGTAAACTTTCTCTCCTTTGCAATAGAATTCCTGCAACATGCAGTGTTATACCTTGCTTGCACAGCAGGGGGCAGCTGGATAACTGAATGTTAACATATAGCATGGGGGGAATAGATACTTGGTCCATTCTCTTCTATACATTCTGTTAGATTTAGGCCAGGACTGGCTTTAAGGGCAGGGCTGGCTCCAGAGTTTTTGCCGCCCCAAGCGGCACAAAAAAAAAAAAAAAAAAAAA